CCTTTCTTTGGCATTTGGAGGCTTGGGTATGATTCAGAGACTCGGTGTGGGAGGGATGAGGGTCAGAGCTGTAAGAACTTGGCTGAATGGACAGCTGCTTCTCTGTGTCATAGGGTGGTTCCTCTTCCGGCTGGCCAAGGGCTCCGTGGCCTGCCCCCCTTTCTTTCTTCTCAGGGCTTCCCCACCAGGAACCCCAGGAAACTCACTTTCCTCCCAAACTCTGTGCATCTTCCTCCCTGTGGTCACTGTCCCTGGTGGCTTGTCATTTTCTCAGAGCTTCTAATTTCAGAATTCAACTGTATTAATTAATGGTTTTGAGATATTTCTTCTTTTAATTTTAGCAATAGAACCATTTTCCTAAATCTTAGTAGGAAACTAAATATATAAAGCTATAAAATCACCCCTGGGTATCCATGGAGAAATGGTTCTGGGAACCCCAAGGATACCCAAATTAAAGATGCTCAAGTCCCTTACATAAAGATGGTGTAGTGTCTGCTTATAACCTGTCATATCCTCCTGTATGCTTTAAGTCACCTCTAGATTACTTACAAAATCTGGTACAATGTAAGTGCTATGTAAATAGTCTGTCATACTGTGTTGTTCAGGGAATAGCAAGAAAAAAAGGTAGTTGTTGTTCAGTTTAGACACAATTTTCCTCCACTCCATGGATATGAAGCCATGAATAGTGAAGGTGACTTGCATATTTTCTTAGAACAAATAAGCGTGTCATGTTAGTCTCCCTGCTGGCTGCTCGCCCCGCCCTCTGGACTCCATCCCCAGCACAGGAGGGTACCCCATAATACATTAAGTCAGATTGCTCCAAACCGCTGTGACTCGACACCCCACCCCTGTCCTAACGATGGCTCAGGAGGTCTTGCTCTGCCTGTCGCTTGCCCATTCTCACTTCATCTTCTTCCCCTGATTCCCCACTCTCAGCAACCACAGTGCTCCTTGAACATGCTGGGAGCCCTCCCATCAGGACTGTGGCACTGATTCTTTCTTCTGCCCGGTGCTGACTTGTCATCCACATGACAGGCTCCATCGCCTCCTGCGAGTCTTTGCTCAAAAATCACCTCTTGCAGCCCTCTTTTAAAAATAGTAACCTGCTTTCCTATCCCAGGGCATTCTGCGCCTGGCTTATCTTTTTCCAATCTACTTTATTCTATTTATTTTAGTAGTTGCTTATTTATTTATTGCTGCTTATTTGCTGACCAATTGAAGTATACATGTGTAAATGAATGAACATCTCAGATTTTTTAGATGTTTGAGGTTTGGTAGAAATTGAACTTGTGGGAAGCCTTGGTCTTTGAGCCCTAAGGTGCATGCCAGGTTTGAAAACCACAGGACTCTTGCATTTCAAGGCTGTAGATTTTGAAAGCACCCTTGGGAACAAAGTGAGAAACACAGGTGATGGAAACAGGGTTGTGTAGTGCTGGTAAGAAAGGGAATAGATTTTTAAAAAAATCTATTTATTGTTGTTATGTCTGTGTCCTACGTACAATTTTGGTTGGGGGAAAAAAAAAGTTGAAAGACTAAGCTCACCTTTCACAATGTTAGCCTTTGAAAATTCCCTGTGCCCTGTCACTGTGGAAGGTGGCGGCCAGCAGAGGGCAGCAAAGCCCCGTGACTAGCCTAGCAGAGGCCGTGTGGTGGCAGGAGCAGGAAAGGCCAAGGAGGTATCTGCTTCCCTGACAGCTCAGACTTTAGGCTCTTCAGAAGCTGGATGCAGTCCACTGACTCTTGCCTAGACTATTGCAGTAGTTCCTATTGGGCCTCAGTGGTCGCTGTAGGAGTGATGAGAGGCAGTTGGATTCTGGCTATTATTTAAAAGCTTAGCTGATGATATTGGTGGATGGATTAAACATGGGAACATGAGAGGAAAGAGGGGTTAAAGATAACTCCAAGGATTTTTGACTTAAGCAGCTGAGTGGAGTTGCCAATAATGTGGAAGGAGCTGGAGAGGGAAGCAGGAAGAGGAGCTTGTTTGGGGACATGATTAGTTTGAGTAGCCCGTTAGACACACAGGGGGAGATGTTGGTGGGTGAGTTGCATATACCAGCTTGTAGCTAATGGGAGGTCTGGGCTGGAGACACAAATTCAGGAGTCACTGGCTTATCCATAGCATTTAAAGCTGAGACGGATGATGATGTCACCCATGGGGTAGGGCAGAAAGATGAGAAGGAATCTGATGACTAGAGCCTGGGAGTCCCAACATTGCCTTGTCATCTAGCTCGAGAGTTGGAATCAATGCCATTCCAATGGCATGCATCCGTCAGCCAGGGCCCAATCAGGAGACAGCACCCCGCGGTAACTTGAATGGGGAGTGTTTAATGCCAATAATATGGGATGTCAGCGTTATGAGGCATTGGCCAGTGAGAAGTAAAGAGAACTCCAAAAAATAGAGAAGCAACACTGTGAGAAACGGTTCCTACCCCTCGGGCCATGGTGGAGGGCCCAAGGGAACAGGCTGGGATCCAGACCTCCCTGGAAAGAGCAGAGTGTCACGCACTGGATGCCAGAGAAGTCACTGGGGGGGCCACTCCAGTGGAGCTTGCTGGAAATCTTCAGAGCTGGAAATCCACCTTCTTTGGTGTGGGGAAGGCTTTTCACAAAGAGGGAACTTGCTGGAGGCGCTTGGCTTTGAAACTGCCCAAGAGGGTATCAAGGGCAGCTATTGGCATCTGGTGCAACTGGCTGCTGCTGTGTACTGCAGGAGCATGGCACTGTAGAAGCCTCTGTGGGGTGGGAACTTGGCTCTGGAGAACCCAAACAGGGACCTGCAAGGAGGCACGTGGAAGGGAATCTCTTACTTGAAACACCAGCTGACAAAGCTTGGAGTTATCTTTAACCCCTCTCTTCCAAAGGGACCAGATCATTTTCACAGTGTAGGCAGGCAAGGGTGACCTTAGAACTGAGGCCATAAATTGAGCCCTGGCACAGGGTGGATGTAGGTCTGGCTGAGAGGCACCAAGGCCACATGAGGAAGCCTTGGTATTGCTGTCTTGGAGGTGTGTGCAACTTTGCATAGGGGAGAGGAGCTGGAAGTCAGGAGCCTCTGGAAATGGGGGCGGGGTGGCTGGTGAGGCCAGGGTCAGGCAGGCCTGAGGCTGTGAGCAGGGCACTCTGTATGTCCTTGGGTTGTTGACCAGGGTCTGGGTAAAGCTGAATATATAAAGATAAAATATGTGCTTCCTGATCTCTAAGAAGAGCTATCTGGGGGGAGGCTGATCAGCAATCAATTCCTACTATGACAGATGTGCCCTAATGGAGCGCATCCGGGTTCCTGGTCATGACCCACATTGGCTGATTCCTATTTCCGCTTGAAATAGGAATGCTGTGTCTTGGCCTCTATGATGTAGCCAGACTCAACTCCGGGCAAGTCTCAAGTTTGTCATGCTCTCTATCACCTCTTGGTTTTTGCACACATTGTGGCCTCTGCTTGGAGCACTTCTTTCTTCTTTGTGTGGCTAAGGCATCATCCTTTGCTTCTCTGATAGGACATCACATTCTTTAGGAAGCTTTTCATGATGCCCCAAGTCTGCATTAGGCCTCTACCCTGTGCCAACTCTACTCTTAACAAAGAATCTATCAAATCGAGACTTAATTACTTGTGCATCTGTTCTACCAGATGGATTGGAAACTCTTCGGGGATAAGAATCGAACCTTGTTCCCAACTCTTATGTAGTGGGCATTTATCAAATTGTTGAATGTGAGTGAAAGATGACAGGCCGGAAGTGAGGTGCATGGAGGAGATGACAGTAGGAAGTGTGTGGGCAGATCACGAAGTCCTTGAAAACCATGTGAAGAAGCCTGGGCTACTTCTGGAGAGCAATGGGGAGCCATTGAGGACTATAAGCTGGGGAGAACCACGACTGGTCTTCCATGTGAGAAAGATCTCTCCAGCAGCTTGGAGATGAATGAGTTAGGTGGAAACAAGAGCAGAGATGGAAAGACCCCGAGGTCCCTGCAGTGATCCCAGAGGACCTGGCACTGGGTAGGACCTGGGAACCAGGTGGAAGGGTTCACTTTGGTCAGGAGGAGGGCCCCTCTGAAGGGTAAGGTGAGCTTGGGGAGAAGTGGGCTGTTTGTCACTTGTTCTGAGAGTCTTTGCTCCATGTCTTCTTTGTCTTGAAGAGCTGAGCCCCTCCCTGGCAGGTTCTGAGCTTTCTTTTCCCAGTGCTTCCCCTGGGCTCAGGACACCAGTCCTTGGCAAGTCCTTAGGAGGATGGACTGGGGGCCTCTAGGAGGCAGTCTCCCCATCCCCAGTGTAGTCCAGAAGGAGAGGCCAGAGTCCTGTTAGAGTGAGCTTGGCAAGTTTATTGAAAACCCAGAAACATAAAGAGCAGAACAAACAGGTGGCACCCCCACCCCCACGTCTCTCTGGAGCTCGTAGACATAACCCTGCTGTGGCCAGGGCTGGGCCTCACACCACCAAAGGACAGGGGCAATGGAGTGCTACAGAGACCACCTCTCCAGCCGCAGCCACCACCTCACCAATACCCCAGGAAGAGGAACACTAGGACATAAGCCACTGGAAGAACCACTGTGGGTGCCGTAGGGGTCCCTGAGCCACCAAAAACTGTGGGTATTTGTGGGCCAGGAAGAGAAGGAGAGAAGTGTCCCCGGGCAGGGAAGGCAAGAAGCAGGAAGCAAGAGTTGGGGACACCTGCACTGTGCAGTCCACACTGTGCTCCAGCTCTACCAAAGCCGCAGGTGGCCCTGGAGCCCAAACACCTGCTTTGGGCTTGAACAGTCCTTTTCTCCCCAGGTACACTGCGTCTGGAATTGGGCTCTACCTGCATTTCCCTGGGAAATGGACCGTGAGGAGTGATCCCAAGGAAGGAAATTGGGAATCAGAGAGAAGCCAGTGGGGCTGAGGCTGTGGGCAGGATATCTATACTGTGGCAAGATCCTTTAGGGGGTGTCTGACAAGGCACAGCTGCCCTTGGGGACAGCTTGCTGTTGGTGACTGTGCAGGAGGGGTGGCTGGAGACTTCTCAGGGGCACAAGCAGGGGACGTTGAGTTGGTTCTCCTCTGGACAGAAGCTGAGGCCTGGGGGTTGGCTTAGTACTTGGTCCTGCGAGAGGTGGTGGTGGACGAGAAGCGGACGCTGGAGCTGCAGGTACTGCGGCCACCACTGCAGCTGCTGAAGCTACCCTCAGTGGGCAGCGGGCACGGGACGCTGGGGGCGCAGGCCTCACCCACAAGCACTGAGCCCCCCTTGGTGCCCGCGCTCAGCAGGTCCCCGTGGCTGCCCCGTGCCCCACCCAGGCTGGAGCTGCAGGAAGTCAGGACCCCTCCTGTGGTGCGGATGCTGCTGCCGCCAGAGAAGGTGACTCCGCTGCGGGACAGGGTGGAGCCAGCGACCAGGTGCTCAGGCCCACACACCACGCCACCCCGGGTGCTGCTCACAGCTGCGGAGAAGAAACCATCAAAGGGGCTGACTCCAGGAGTCAGGGTCCTCTTTTCCTTCTCTTGTCTTGGATGCCCAAAGACTGTGACTGCATTAAAACCCAACAGCCAGGTCAAGGTGGGAGAATTCTGGAAATTCCTCTGGATGTTTGCATCTGTCCATCTGCTGACTATCATATGAAGCCCAAGTTGGTGGGAGTGAGGGTGGGGGCGGAGTGGGCGGGGTGGGCTGGATGACCCAGGCACTGGAGCCTCTAGGAAGCTGTGACCTTCTCTCTGCCGTTCTACTGGGTTCCTGGTGCACTTACTCCCCCATAAGAAACCCTGTCAACATGGGTCCCTTGTCAGCTCTGGACACATTTCCATGTCCCAGGACTTGAACCCTAACCTCTGCATAGACCAGCCCCAGCCTGTCACTACACACTCTTTCTGCCCCCTTCTCTCACCAGGGTCTTTGCTCCATCTGATCTCCCCTGGAGCTTAACCTCCTGCTGAAGGGCCATTGCCTGCTGCTCCTTCCCCTGCCTCCAGGGGCACTCTCCTCCTGGAAGGGGTAGCTCTGACCATCTGACCCATCCAGATTAGCACTCAGTCCTACCACGCATCTGTGTACATTTGTGTTTTCGAGTCAGAAATCTGGATCTGGATTCTGCCTAGTCTTGTGACTTCCAGCAAATCACATCTAGTATGCCAAGGCCTGCTCCTCCTCCCAGGGGTCCTTCCAGGACTAGGGTGGCAGTAACTAGGACTCACCTTTGCAAGAAGATTGAAATTCTAGAGAGCAGGGGCTGGCCTGGAGCTACCCCATAGTGCTCTGCTCAGTGTCCTGTGTACTTTGGGCACAACCAGTACTATTTGACAGGAGGGGGAACTTCCACTCAGTTTGTCCCATCCTTGCCATCAGGGAATGACAGACCTCCCTGGCACAGGCCTTTCCATTCCTTCTTTCTCTGAGATGGTTCCCTTGAAGGACAAGGTCATTCAAAGCAAAAGGACTGAGTCTCTTCTGGAACTTTCTCCTACTTTGATAACTCTGCACACCCTTGTCAATGCTTTGCTCTGGGGAAGGCAGACTCCAAGAGATCTTGGACCTCAGCTGAGGACATGTCCCAGTCCAAGGGGCAGTTGGCCCCTGCTTCCCTAACTGTCTTGGTCATAACCAAGGAGCTTCTTGGGAGGGCCCTGTACCCTGCATGAGCCTGAGTTTAAAAGAAATTTGAAGGAGAGAGAAATGTGAAGAGGAAAAGGCATAAACTACTTACATATGTTAACTGGGCCAACGCCTTCACAGATGCTGGAGAGAAAGGAACAATTTAGTTCACAGGCAGGGGACACTTGGCTCTCAGTCTCAGCTGTACATGCGACTGGGGAGCTTTGAAAAAACCATATGTTCCTAGAGCCTACCCCCAAATTATTTTTTTGGCACTGAGGATTGAACCCAGGGGTGCTTAACCACTGAGCCACATCCCCAGCCTTTTAAATATTTTATTTAGAGACAAGGTCTTGCTGAGTTTCTTAGGTCCTCACTATGTTGCTAAGATCTTCTTGCCTCATCCTCCTATCTCAGCCTCTTGAGCCACTGGGATTACAGGCATGTGCCACCATTCCTGGCTTACCCCCAAACTACTGAATTAAAATATTTAAGGAAATGTATTGTTATTATTTTTAACAAACCAGCCAACCAAGCAAAACTCATGAGACACTGTGCAGCTTTATAGACTTCACATTTGAGAACACAGATCTAGAGCTACCTTCTAATCTCTGGACAAGGACAACCAACTAATGTTTGTGGGAAATGTATTGTCATCTCTGGGAGCAGCTTAGTTTAGCAATTTTCCCCCTGGCTCCTCCCCTTACTTGCTTAACCTTCCCAGATGCCTATGTCTGACCTCCTCCCTCCCAGAGCGCTCACCGGACTTCCTCGCCCTCTAGCAGCCTCCTGTAGGTGGCGATCTCGATGTCCAGGCCCAGCTTGGCATTCATGAGCTCCTGGTACTCCCGCAGCTGCCGCGCCATGTCCTGCTTGGCCTGCTGCAGGGCGCCCTCCAGGTCCGCCAGCTTGCATTTGGCGTCATTGAGGGCCGCCTCGCCCTGCTGCTCTGCCTCGGCCACTGCTTCCTCCAGCTTGACTCGCTGCAGGGAGGGCAGTTTGCAGTTGGGCTTTGGCAGGGGCCCAGGGGGGTTAGAAACACTGCCCATGGCTGATAGGGATGTAGCTGGGGCCAAGCCAGGGATGGAGCCTCTGGTGGCTGTTTTCCTAGGGATGGTGATCCTGTAGTTTGCTGTCACCAGAGGGTAGAGCTTGACTTTCCCTCCCTTTCCATCCACATTGACTTCACCCTTCCTGATTTTTGCTGCCCATGGGGTCCAGAGAATCCACCTGTTCTTTCGACCTCCCCTCCCTCTCTGGGTCCGCCTCGGGTCATTCCTCCTACATGGGAGATTCTCCCTTCTTCCCTATTTCCTCCTCCAGGAAGTCTTTCCTGCACAAAGCCTCCATTCCTCTGTTTCTGGGTCTTGGCATGACCCTGACTTCATCGGACTTGGGGCTCCCTAAAGCTAGGGGCCCTACCTCTCCCGCTCTGTGGCTTTCTCTCATTTTTTTTTGCCCACCTGAGCCTTGGCATGCTCGATCTCTGCCTTCAACCTGTGGATCAGCCGGGTCAGTTCATTGATCTCGTCCCGTGTGTGGCGTAGGTTGTCACAGTGTTGGCCAGCTGTCACTCGCATCTCCTCATACTGGGATCAGAAGGCAGTGTTTTGAAGTTTCAAAGGTCAGGTAAAGACCACAGCCCCCACTAATTTGGGAACTTCAGAACTTCCCTGGCTCTACTCCATTGAAAGGAGCACTCTCCCCCCAGGGCTAGCCACACCTCTTTTTGCCCACCTTGGTCTGGTACCAGGCCTCAGCATCAGCACGGCTGCGCCTGGCCACCTCCTCATACTGAGCCTTGACTTCGGCGATGATCCCGTCAAGGTTCAGGTCCCTGCTGTTGTCCATCTTCACGATGACTGATGTCTCTGAGATGTGCGACTGCAGCAACTGGATTTCCTGTGTTGGAGGAACAGCAAGGCAGAAGGGCTCAGAGTCTCATCTGTGGCTCAGACCCTGCCATAGAGTCCCTAGGATGTGACTGGGATCAGGGGCAGAAAAACATTGCTATTTGGTTTAGGACACATCAAGATCCTCTACACTGAGGGTAAGGGAAAAGACGTGTCCGAGAACCATTTCAGTGTCACACTAGAACCTTTGCTATCTGCTGGGAGATAGCCCTTCTACCCTCTCCCTTGCTTAGGTTTTAAATAGTAAAACTGCAGTGGCTGTGGACTTGGTGGGGAGAGTGGGAGCCATGCTAGGGATTCAACTTTTCTTTGGCTCATCCAGAAAGTGGCTTTGCTGGTCACATTCCATTGAGAGCTGCCAATATTTTAAACCATGGCCTCCCAAGTCTCAGAACTAGGAGGCTGGAGCTGGCTGGCAAGGCGAGGGCTCCTGGGAGTGTTCACTCAGGGTGTCTTTGCTCAGAGCTGAAAACTCAGCTCTGCCTGGGTCTGCTCCAGACGAAACGGAACACATATGAAGCAAAAGATAACGAGTTAGTTTGGCTACTGGATCAGAAACACGTTTTCTTACATCTCCTGGCAAATCAGTTTTCCAGAGTCATCTGGCCAGTAGAAAGGAAGTGACATTCCTAGACCCCTGTCCTTAGCTTGGCTTATGGAGATTTGGATCACACATGCAAGGTGGCCATTCATAGGCCTGAGCCAGGCTGCTGAGAAGCCTGCTCCCCTGACCTGCTCCACTTGCAGATCCATGACACAGCACATAGACTTGGGTGGTAGGATGTAGGATGCCAACGTTTGAAAATATGCCAGCCTAGGCTAAGCCACCGGGAAGTCCAGGTCAAGCACTGATCCCCTTGGATGCCTTAGAGACGAGCCTCACCTCCATGTACAGGGTTTTAAGGAAGTCAATTTCCTGAGTTAGGGCATCCACGTTGGCTTCTAGATCAGATTTATTCAAGAAAGCTGTGTCCACATCCTGCATAGAAGAGAGAAGGATAAGATACTTATTACCTGTATGCTGCTTACCCTTCCCAACTTGGCAGGATCTGCGAATGGGTGGAAGATCTGGTCAGTTTCCACAGGACCAATTCCTACAGGCTTTTGGGATGGGTGGAATGTCACTGAGTGGAAGTGACTATGGCTCTTCTGAGAACTCCTCCAGAGGCTGCTGGAAATTCTCCAGTGCTCATTTGAAAGCAAGGGTTATCTAGCTAATTCATAATACTTAAAAAGTCATCTTTTCATACCTCTGATTCAAGTGACCCAATGAAGTAATCTGATGCCAAATCAGAATTTCCAAGGGAACCTGATGTGATCTTTGGGATTCTGCTGTCTTTGTGTACTCACAAAGCACTGATCTCCTCAGATGCCTGAGAGATGAGCCTCACCTCCATGTACAGGGTTTTAAGGAAGTCAGTTTCCTGAGTCAGGGTATCCATGTTGGCTGAGTTAGGGTATCCATGTCTATATCTGAAGATAGATGCCAGCCATTCCTGGCAAGGCATAACTTGCAGAGGAAAGTAGGTGGGTGTGGTACTAGGAGGTGTATTCTGGGATTGTAAGTCATACCCACCACCTCAGATATCCCATCCACTGAGATGTGTAGAGCTGGAGAAGAACTCACAGCCCCCAACCCCATGTTAGACATGGAGACACTGGAGCTCACATTCCCTTCCATTTTCAATCATAGTCCCTGATTCCATGGGACTCCCTGGGATGTTTCTGGGGGTTCTTGAGAATATTTGCCCTTCTGGAGGAGAAATTTGGGATTGTTGCTCTTCTTTACCTTCTTCAGAGTCACAAACTCATTCTCAGCATTGGCTCGGAATCCCACCTCCTCCTCATACCTGGGTAATAAAGATGAAGGGGTTAGTTCTCACTGCAAACTGAGAACCAGTTACTCCTAAGCCCTCAGCAAGCCTCTGAGGAACTCTCTGCTCCATTGGGTAACTTGGCTCCTTGTTCCATCTTTAAGACCTATGAGTTGGTGGTCTTAGTTCTTCCAAATCCATTTTACCTTTTCAATTTGGATTTGGGGGTCTGGAGATCTGGACCATTGCTATACTCCTCTATTAGAAATGACTTAGGGTCATTGCACTTGACCATTGACAGAGTAGGATCTAACTCAATGCTGAATGTGGGCATTGTTTTCAGAATCAAGGGAATCCTTTTTCTGGGAATCTCACTCATTCCCACTGGCAGTATTAGGGACAAACCATGCCCAATTCCAAGACTTCTTTATCCTCAGGACTCGTGGAGGCACTCTTCCTCCCCTTCACATATTACTATCCTCAATCCTGTCCCCAAGCTGTATATTGTAGCCAACCAATTCCCACCCTCCCAGTTGCTGTCATATGAGCTGGGCTGCTGCTTTGGGAGCAGCCTGTGCCTGTCATCAGTGTGTGCAATCTGGGTTCCACTCACTTCTTCTTGAAGCCCTCGAGGACATCCTGCAAGTGGTTCCTCTCAGCCTGCAGCCGGGCCTGGTCATTGACCAGTGTCTCCAGCTGCCTTCGCAAGTTGGTGATGTAGTTCTCAAAGAGAGGTTCTAGGTTGCTCCTGGCACATTTCTGCTCTTGGAGGAAGCTCCACTTGGTTTCTAAGAGCTTGTTCTGTTGCTCTAGGAACCGTACCTAGATCCACAGGGACAAAGAAATGAAGTGTTTGATAGAGTCCCCACACGTTGGCCAGTTCTCTAGATGGCTGGCAATGAATCTCCATCACATATGGACAGTGTTGTCTCTTTTGTTGACTTTCATTCCTCTTCCAATGCAGGTCACACTGGAAGGGCATATCCGTGACCCTCTACTCACGTTCAGTCAGTCTTGACTACAAATAGACATGTTTCAGTACAATCCCCTCTTTCTCCCCCTAAGAAAGATGTAAGACAGTTCATGGGGAAGGTGGAAAGACTGATTTGTCTATAGCTGAAAACAGATGCCAGCCATTCCTGGCAGACCATACCTTGCAGAGGAAAGTACATTTGGGGTGGGCGTGGTACCAGGAGGTATATTCTGGGATCATAAGCCATACCCACCACCTCAGATATCCCATCCACTGAGATGTGTAGAGCTGGAGAAGAACTCACAGCCCCCACCCCCATGTTAGACATGGAGAAACTGGAGCTCACAGAGTTTCCATTTTCAAACATAGCTCTAGCTTCCTTCTCCATGGACATGGCCTTGGGAGGTCAAGTCTTTTGGAAGTTCATGTCACTGTTCCTCTGCATCAGTGACTACCAGTGTTGGGACCTAGATTTCCCTCAATCTAGGCAACTTGGCCAAACATTCACAGGAGGATGTATTTTTTTTTTCTTTTTACATGAAAATTACTCAATTCACTGTCCAATTTCCTAATCCTGCACAGATGGGGCCACCCAGCTTCAGAAACTGAATAACTTATTAAGGAAACCACAATTTCAAAGGATTAAATCTTTTGAACTTACAACACTCTACATCTGACTGAAGTCCTGGTACTTCCAGCCTGTTGAGGAGACATTTCTAAGTGACCAGATACTAGGTCTCATTTTTTCCCAGATGCCCTCAGCTTTGGTTAGCCGCCCCTCCTTCCTCCAGAAGACATGACCAGGCCTGTGTTACCATGTAGCAGTTTCTCTGGCTTGTCCTCGTTCCTTGATAGAACCTCCCAGAGGTCATACCTCAATGCTTTGGTAGACACCCAAAGGATCTGAGTCAAAGGTGCTGCCCCAGAGCTGGACTAGTTCTTTTTAAGAGACAGAACTCCCAAGACTTTAGCCTCCCTATCCCAGACCCAGAGATTCAGCCATTATAACTACCTTGTCAATGAAGGAGGCGAACTTGTTGTTGAGGGTCTTGATTTGCTCCTTCTCATCCTTCTTCACCCTCTGGGCATTGGGGTCAATCTCCAGGTTGAGGGGCGTCAGCAGGCTCTGGTTAACAGTCACCGCTGTGATAGATGGGGCTGCTGGTCCTCCAATTCCTCCAACTCTGTAGCCAAAGCCAGGGCTGCTGAAACCATGGCCAAAGCCACTGCCGCCTCCAAAGCCCAGACCAACACCACTGCAGGCCCTAAATCCCAGACCGACACCACTCCTGTCACCAAAGCCGAAGGCCATCCTACTGCCAGGACCAAAGCCAACTCCACAGCGGGTGGGATGAGGGCCTACAGCTGCCATCCGGGGTGCATGGGATCCAAAGTTGATGACACTCCGACTACCAAAGGCACCAAGGCCCCGGAGACCAGGCCCACTCTTGCAGGAGACAGAGCTGGCCTGAAAGTGGCTCAGGTTCTGGGGGGTCACGGCTGAGCAAGAGCTGAAGTTGCCCATCCTGCACCCAGAGCTGACTCTGTAGGAGCGACAAGACATGGTGGCTTCCTGGGTGAGGACCAAGGATGATTGCAGAGTGGGGCGAGCTGGAGTGGGGAGTCCCTTTGAGGCTAGTGGATCCCTCTCACCCCTTTTATGTATGTGGGGATCTGAGGATGGGCCCCATAAAAACGAAAAAGGCATTTATGAGCTTGGGTAGTTAGCAGAAACTCTTCATGCCTATAACCTCCTTAACAATGAGCTAACTCGGACACACCTATTCTCATCAGGATGAGGACTGAAACATCAGACCCATAAACATTAAAAACACATAAACACATAAACATTATGGTCCTATTTTTCCTCATAAGTCCACCACAATTGCCATTATGGGGACATTAATTTGCTTTGGTCATAAATTCAGAGGTTTTTCCACTGCCAGTGTGGCTAACCACCAGAAGGTTAGGATGCTAACAGTCACGGCCAGAGGCTCATGAGGGGTGCATCTGTGCAGACATGTCACCCTAAAAAGGCGAGTGGGTGTACAGAGGAGAGAGACAGGGTCTGTGCAGCTCCACATAAGAAGCGATTGCAAGAGAATATGTTTTTTTTACATCCCTGCGGATAGATGGAATAATCAAAAGACCTTTTGCAGTGTTTTATCTCTTCTCCATGATCAGGTTTGGGTGTTTACATAAGAGTTAAATCCATAGTAAAGTTTGTTTGGGCCAGTGTAGACATAGTTCTGATTTGAGACGCTCAGAGGAGATTCATTCATTTAAGAATTGATTGTCCACCCTGTGCCAGGCTATGTGGATCTGTGTGTAAAGTTAACCACAAGGTTTGGAGCTCTTCCAATAATAGACCATAGATCTGATTTATAATCCTGCCTATGCAGGTTCCTTATTATCAGTGAATCTTTGGTTAGGGTACAGATACACACAGCAATAAGCATCTGGATAGAAAATGAAAAGTTCAAAGCAGCTGGATATTGTTCTTGTCCACAACGTTGGACATTGAAGCTGATTTACCTTTTCTGTTCTCTTATGTGACATGGTTCCTCCTTGTGGTCCTGTGCCTGAGAGAACTTGTGTTTGGAAGCTTGAGCTTCTTTGAGAAGCTTGGGATTCTAACTAAGAAGGGAATACGTGCTCTGGACAGGAAGTATACAGCTCAGGTGTGCACTATTTTCTGTAGATTCAGGTATCAGCTGTGTGTCTAAGAGGAAGGAAAAGCTGGACAATAAATAACAAGTCGAGCTCCCAGTGGCCTCTGTGTTGCTGGGTTCAGTGCTGTTTTGGGTCTTCTTTTCCCACAACTCAGCCATATTTAACATACTTGGTTCATCCTTGATGCACGTTCTTGTGTCCATTTCCAAGCATCACATTCTCCCAACTTCTTTTTAGTCTTCTTAGCCAGTTCTCCCTAACTTCTACACATCACAGCATCCCTGGGCTCAGTCCTGTGCCTTTTCTCATCTTTGCATACACCTTGGTGACATCAGTCAGACTCATGACTTTAAAGACTGTGCATCAGCTACTCCCCAGGCAGGGCTCTCCCCCAGACCTCCCCACACATGTGTTTTAATTGATAGCTCCATTTGGATATTAGACAGGAAACTCAAACCTAGTGTCCCAAGATGTTCCCCTAATCATTCCTATTAAATACTTTCTACTTGCCATCCTCAGTATCCCTGAAGCAGCTCAGACCAAAAATCTTAGAGTGGTCCTTGTTCCCTCTGTTTTTGCCATATCCCTCGTTCCATCCATTGGCACGTATATCTGGACTCTGACTATTTCTTGCCACTCCACTGCTGCCATGTGGGTCTAAGACCATCACTCCTCACTGGCTCCATCCATTCACCCTCCAGCTAGACTCCCTGCTTCCTGGACTGCACCTTCAGACTTCTCGCAACATTATGGTCAGTGGGATCCTTCGAAAGCCTGTTAGGCTACATCATTTCTGTGCTCAGAGCCAATGCCAAGGAAGATTCTCCAGCATGCCTCCCATTCCTGCTCACCCTGCTCCCACCACCGTCGCCTCTGGCTTGTCCATCAAACAAGCAGAAACACTCCTGCCTTAGACATTTACCCACTTGCTGGTTTCACTGCAAGGACATTTCCTCTTAAAAGCTCCTCAGCCATGTCCCTCAACTCTTCCAGGTCTTTGATCATGTTCCCTTCTGACCTCCATCCAGGCTCCCTGCTCCCTTTTCCTTAGCACTTCTCACCATCTGAGGTCATCTCTTGCACAGAACTGCAGTCTATTATCTGTCCGCCCTGGCTGGAGCATAAGCTTTAAGTAGTGACAACGTTGTGGATTTTGTTCTCCTGGGTGACCCCAGTGCTTGGTAGAGTGAGGGCACATGGCAGGTATACTACCTAGTTCTGTTGAATGAATAAATACACCACAAAAGTTAAAAGCAGGAAGAGAAAGGAACGAGGGGAGCAGGGAGGATAAAGAAGAGGAATTGGGACATTAGGTTTTTGCAGATATTTTAGAAAGAGAAGTCTCCAGGCTTCACAGTGAGCAGGAATGACCCTGGAGATGCTGGTAGTGCAGAAACTCAAGAGCTCACAGGAGAACTAGTCCAGTTTCTCCAGATCCTGCTTCTAGGGCTTGAATCTGTCTGGTTGAAGGAAAAGACACCTCACTCCTCTAAGGATAGGCAAAAGTTTCCAGGATATTGAGAAGGGAACCAGAGGAACCCCACTGGAGGAGAAAGAGGGAGGGGAGCAGGAGGATGTCTTCGAGGGCACCAGTGAGGACAGAGAACTTGATATAGACTTTGGAATCAGATGGACCCGGGTTCACTCCAGTTTTGCCACCTGTCAGCAGTGTGATCTGGGAGAGGGATGCACTGAGGGGAGGATGGTGACAGCATCCTGCTTCAGGTGGGTACAGGCCGTAAGGGGTGCTTGATTGTAGACAACTTGAAAACAGTAATGCAACCAGCTAAAATCTGTCTGTTTTTCATTATCAACATGCCCTGGCTGTTCTAAATAATGCTGGTAGACAAAGATCACCCTGACTCCATGGCATATCAGTGACCTTGGCCAGGCGGGTGGGGTGTTTAAACTCTCTGAGCCTCAGTTTCCTCATGCGTATATGGAGTTAGACCTTCTTCACATCGTTCCAAGGATTCAACGTGGACACATCTGGGATGTGCGTTGTCAAGGCCTGGGGACCCTTCCCGAACTCCATTGCTTTCCCTCCTCCTTTTCCTCCTTCCTGTCCTCTCTACCCTTTTCTCTCTCTTTAGCCCAAACCTCCCTCCATTTCTGGGCAGTCCTCCCTATTCCTGTCCTGCAACCCACACCCCTCCTGTGGCTCATTATCCCATTAGGCATTCCTGGGCTGTCCCAAGTTTCAGCTTCCTTGATCCCTGAGCAGAACGGGTGGGGTGGGGGTGACTGGGACCAGCCAAGCCTAACCCTGTCACCATCAGCACTTTATAGTTCTGAGGTATCATTTCACCAGATGATGCATAACACAACACTCAGACATTTTCAAGGGGGTGGCAGGTAGAGAGTGGGGAGGAGTTGTCCTGGCAACTCTGGGCTCGAGGTTTTGCTGCCGTGACAGTTTCTTTTTGCTGTCGTCAGTCCACCTGAATGTAATCCTGGAGATCTGGCTGCGCCCAGCCGCGGCTCCTCAGCTGTGTCACTGGCCGACTGCTGGGTCATCATGATGCTATCTGTGGAGTAGGGAGGCGGGCCGAGTGGCAGGGGAGGGGACCCCCTTCTGGTTGGCTGAGCAGGGTCTGGGAACCCTGGGCATGTGGTGTGGCAGGGTGTGTGTGGGTTGGGTGGGGGGGGGATGAAAGGGGGCAGTCCAGGCGCTGAGCAGCCTTTGCTAAGTGCCGCCTTCTGAGTGCTTCCGTTTTGCCCGGGGAAGAGTTTGTGCTGGAGCGATACACTGGCCAGGGAGGAGGTCCTTTCTCACGCTGAGACCTGCCCCTGCTGGGAAAGCACGTTGGGAGTCCCCACAGAAGGAGCCGGAATGGGAGGGGAGGCTGAGTCCACTCTTGCCCATACCTCCACTTCTGCCCACTCAGACTAATGACCACTTGCTTGAAACCCAAACATCTCCCCAGGGGAGATAAAATGCGTCCTCTTATTGGGCACCCTCTTCCTGCAGGAAGGATGAGGTTTCAGGTTTAAGCCAAATTCCTCCCATTACTCACGCAGTGCCATCTGGCCAGAGTGAAAATGTTCCTGCTAGGTGCGGTTTGCTTCAATAACCCTTCACTGAGTGCTCATGTGTGCCCAACACTGTAACTAGGTGCTGGGATGGCCAAGGGAACCCTTTTTCTGCTATCAGATCCACTAACTGAATCACTGTGCCATTTAGGAAGTCATTGTCCCCTGCCAAGATTCTTTCTGGGTGCTCAAGTAACCCTAGTAGAGAGAAGCAGCAGTTAGAGGGCTTGGGGCCACAGTGAGGAAGGGACCATTTGAGGCAGAGGCAGTGGGCACCTGGGGATGGGCCATCGGAGCAGGTCAGGGTGTGTGGGGACAGGAGAGGCTCTATGTGAGTACTTGAGAGCCAGGGGAGGATGAGGGACAAGGAAATGGAGACATTCTGGGAAGACAGGAGCTCCATCTTGTCCTTCCACCATCCCCGACTTGCTTGTTCCCACGCTGTCCTCCCTGGCACTCTGCGTGGGATTGAAAGCTGGATTCTCCAGGCAGAGTCAAAGGTCGTGAAGTTCTGGCTTGCTGTAGACGGTTCTTAGCCTGCCTCCACCCCAGGCTGGTTCCTTTTGTATCCCAGCATCCAGGGAGCTGGCCCAGAGGGGAAGGAAGCTCAGGAGGTGTTTGCTGAGTCGAATGGAATGAGAACACTGTGCTCCCACCAGGAGGCGCTTTTGTCTCACCTGTTTTGAGTCATCACCACCCCATGGGAGGAAGGGAGAATGGGTTACTGCCAGACAGTGAGGAGTGGGGGAGTCCTCGGAATGTTCTAGAGGGGACAAACCCAGGTCCATGAGCTTGTCTCCAGACCTGAGCAGGGGGCGCCCCACTGCTGGGATGAGTAGTGCTTAGTACATGGTTCCAGGCAGCCTCCCCTTTCTAGCAGATCTGTTAAGGGCCCAGGTACTCGGGAACCAAAGTCTCAAAGGGGTGGCAGGCAGGCCAGAGAGGCCCCTTGTGAGGGTGAGGGATCATTTTAATTTTTACTCAGCTCAAACACCTAAAGGGGGCATCCCCGGGGCCTCAGGTAGTCTTCTGTGAGATAGAGGTGGCCAGTCTCTTTGGAATCCCAGGTTTTGGTGTACTCCTGGCCAGAGTGTTTCTGTTGGTTCCAGAGCTGGGCTGGGAGTTCCGCTGGTTTCGGGGCCAGGTCCAGAGCAACAGGGATGCAAGTGGCACTGAGGCTCCTGAGGCCCACCATCCCCTCCCTCTTTCCCTTGCACCTGGCACACACCTCTGGAATCACAGGCTCTGCTGGGCCCTGGGCACATGTCTTTCCACTAGAAGCTCCCACTGGCTTCCTTCCCCTTACAGTCCTGCGGCTGTTAGGATTCAGGCTGGCCTGCTTCCTGCTGCTTCTCCTGGGGAGCTTCCAGAGTCCTGTGACTCAAGAGGGACCCTCGGTTATGTTTCCCATGCCCCTCTGCTCTGCCACCTTCACAATAGTCCTGGTAGCTGGAGTTTCCTGTTCCAGGCCCACATTACTGCTAAGCTGTACATTCCATGGTCTTGGGCCAGGCTCCTTTTAAAAGGAGCCTCATGGACCTGCTATACTCATTTATAATGTATGAGTCAATGAATTTAATCTATTCCCAGATATGTGGAACCATCATTGCAGTCAATTTTAGAACATTTTCATCACTAAAAAAAAAAAAAAGAGAGAGAGAGAGAGAGAAATTTTAGTTATCTCCCAACTCCTGTCACCTACTTCCTCCAGCCCTAAGCAGTTACCACTCAGCTCCCTCCCTCTCTAGATTTCCCTGTTCTGGACTTCCAATGCATTTATTATGTGAATGAAATAAAATAATAAAGAACTTTCCTGTGTGGCTTCCATCACTTTGTAAAACGTTTTCATAGTTCACCTATGTTGTGGCAGGTATAATTATTCCATTCTTTTTTTATGCCCAAGATAGGATTCCATTGTATGGATATGGATCCTATGTTGTTGATCCATTCCATTCACCTGTTGATGGGCATTTGGTTGTTTCCGCCTCCGGCTACTTTGAATCATGTCGCAAGTTTGTTTGGCCATGTATTTTCATTTCTCTTGGTATATACCTAGGAAAGGAATTGCTGGGTCATATGGTAACTCCATGTTCAAGAGTTTGAGGAACTGCTAGAATGTTCTACACATCATTGTACCATTTTACAGTCCCTATCCTGGGCCCTCAGTGCTGGGCCTGCTGTATGTACAGGGCTGTCTTGTTCACCATGGTGCTACCAGGTCCTGGATGGTCTGACCCAAGCCGATGCTTGATAAATATATATTGTGTGACTGAAAAAGTGAATGAATGAGTTCTATTGAACGTGTTGCCACAAATATGCACCTCCAGGCTTCCTGTCAGATTCTGTCCTTGCAATCTTCCCTTTGAGCTTCTCTCTGACCCTCTTTCCAGCACAATCATTTGTTGCTTCTTGTTGTTCTCATACTTTTTAGCATCATTATTTATGACTCCTTGATGAGGCTGAGAGTCCCTCCAGGGATAAGAGGGTGTATTTGTCATCTCTGTATCACTGGCTTCCAAAGCAGTGCTTGGCACAGGATGGGTGCTCTGTGGCAGTGAAGGGAGGGCTTCATCCCAGCTCTCAGGAGGGGGAGAGAGCCCTAGGGGAGGGGCTGTTTCAGGGGTCATTGAGGCAACAGGAAAGAACACTGGAACCTTGCAGAGGGTAGAACCACTGCCACTGAATCTTGTCTCCAGGTCTCAGGGTTTCCAAATGGGAAGAGGAGGTTGAAATGTCCTGGGCTTCCTTCCTTGCTGGGCTGCTGCCCATCTTCACTGCTTTGCCCAGGCCACGACTATGTAGGCCCTGGGAATGGTCCAGAATAGGGAATGGAGCCCAAACAGGGTTTGGGAGCTGCTACATCTAAACATGATAGTGGGCTTCAGGGTTTTCTATAGATTGTATGCAAGGCCCCATGCAGTGAGGAGGTCTCACTGGGTGCAAAATCTGCACTGGGATCGTATAATACGGTTGCTTTTTTAACATGGCAAGTGATATGCAAACTAGTGGGGTGTGACATGCAGGTTTTGAGTATGAATTATATGGAGCCATATTTATTCCACAGGCCACTTGCAAATTGTGAATGTGTTGTTTTCCCATTGGTAGAATGACTTTCCTTCCCATTCCCAAGCTTCCAGTCCCCAAAGATGGCTCATGATTCCCTTCAGCCTTATCTTACCCCCCGCCCCCTGACACAGAGCAGGATGAGCAATCCTGATTCTCAAAGTGTGAATAAAGTTAGTTTATTGGGAACACAGAGCCCAGAAGCTCCGGGCAGATAACTTGTATCCCAGGTGGGCAGGGCTCCTGGGAGGTGGGTGAGCCCAGCACCTTCTCCTCCCTCTCCCAGATTCCAAACTAGAGCCTCCAAGTGGCTGGGGCAGCTCCACAGAACTGTTGTGGAGAAATGTGTTCATGTAGACCCAAAGCCCCAAATCTAGAGGGCTAAAGGGAAGAAGCAGGAGCTGTTGGCTATGTACAGAATATGGGGTGGGGAGTGGGGCTTAATCCCATTGAGTAAATAATGTCAGCTCTTGATCATCCATCTTCCCAGTAATTATTTCAAGTCTTCTTACCCTTTGTTTCAAGAATATTCCACCATCCGCTGCCAATGTGGGCTCAGGCAACAGACTCATTTGTGTAGTTTGAGATCAAACAAATTTGTGTAAGTAAAGCTACTACCCAAAGACTGCTTTTTGAGTTTTTGTGCTGGCAGGAGATTGGCAGATCCCAAATGATCTGAAATCTTGGCACTTGGTTTTGGAATTCAGAATGGGATTTTGGGGTGTCTCCTTTTGATGTTTACAATAGTGCATATTTCAGGAGGGTGCTAAAAGAAGTTTAATTTTTTTTTAGGTGCATGAGAGCCAGTGGAAAGGGAGGTGGGAGGCTTGGGTGGAGTGGGGAGGAGAAGGCTGGCTTTGAAGGGAAACTTGCATGGGGTTTTCTGCAAAGCAGAACTGTGATGTGCCCATTTGGTTTATCTGGAATTGAAGTGGTTGGGGTTATTGCCATTCCTGGGCCATATCAGGGCTGACTGTCACTAGTTTGGGAGGGACAAGAGAAATGCATCCTCTCTCTCTGCATCCTACCTCACCCCAGGTCCCAATGCAGATTTTGTACCCAGATACTTGAAAATAAAGATGAACTTGAAGGTCAGCTCAACCCCAAGCAGAAATCCCAGGGGTCTCTGGAGTCAATACAGGAAAGGTAGGATTTTGGAACAGCCTTTGGCCCTAGTGGGGTACAACATCCAGGGCCCTGTCCCTGGGTCTCCAGTGTTGGGGGCAGTGCTAACACTAGTGCGTGCAGGAGCTGCCCCCAGTTGCCAGTTTCATGTTGGAGCTCCGCCCACTCCCACAGCCCAGGAGCCCCTGGGCCTTGCAGGGGATGTAGAGTTCCCCAGTGCCCACCACACTGCAGCCCCCGCTGCTCCTGAGGACACCTGTGCTTCCAGGGCAGTACTCGGTCCTCAGCATGGGTGTACCCACCACACAGGGCTCGTACAGGATGGCGCCTTTGGAACTGCTCACAGCTGTGGGAACATGAAGGGATGCTCAGGATCCCACCCCATGTGGCTCTGAGGGAGCTGCCCTGAAACTTCTCAGCCAGGCCCACACCTCCCACCTGCTGCCATTCACCTCCAGCTACCAACTTCCATGTCTCCCCACCCTAGCAACATCCAATGCTTGGAGATCCCCATGGGCTTCTCTCTTTCCCTCAGAGCCTTGGAGAGGTCAGGCCCGATGTCACCCTCTCTCAGCTTCTCCTTGTCTTCTCTCTCCCTTTTGTGTCTACCTCAAACCCTTGCCCTCTAGCAAAGCATCCTCTGGTCTATGTGGCTTCTTGGGGACTCTGAGACCATGCTGGGCATCTACTCCTAGTTGTGATACCCCAAATATGGATAGTCCTGCCAGAGACCTTCTCCATCAACCCAGGGCTTTTTGTGAGGTGGCAGATGCCCCAGAGGTCTGGATGGAGTGGTGCCAACTTGTAGGTTGTGTTATCAACTCCCGCGACCTGGCACTTTGGGGCCAAGGTTCATCTACTTACAGATATTCACAGGCCCGATGCCTTCACACAGCCTGGAGAGAGGAGGAGAAGAAGACAGGGTGACTGCATCAGAAAAAAATGAAGTGGGAAGGTGCTTGCCTAGCATGTGTGACGCCCCCGGGTTGCCATCCCCAGTACCACAAAGAGAAAACAAAGAAATAAACAGAGTGAGGCACTCCAGGTGGAAGCTCCCCTTCTCTTGCCCTCACCATGTCGAGCAGGAGGGCTCAAGGACTGTGTGCTGTTCTGGATTTTCCACCACCCGTGGGTGGGTCACGGCAACACTTCCCCGAGGGCTGGGTAACACCCTGATCCCTGCCCTCCCTTGCAGAGCTCACCTGTGCTCCTCGCCCTCCAGCAGGCGCCTGTAGGTGGCGATCTCGATGTCCAGGCCCAGCTTGGAGTTCATCACCTCCTGGTACTCCTTGAGCAGGCAGGCCATGTCCTGCTTGGCCTTCTGCAGGGCCTCCTCCAGCCCCGACAGCTTGCACTTGGCATCGCTCAGGGCCGCCTCGCCCTGCTGCTCTGCCTCGGCTATGGCGCCCTCGAGTTTGCAGCGCTGGGGGAGAGGGCATAGCATGGCATCACTGGGGGCCCCTGAATCTCTGAGTGGGATGCTCAGAAGGATAAGCAGACATGTGGTGGCACCTGCCAGGTTTGAATTTGCTGTGGGCTTTATCCTAGGATTGTGACATCTGGCTCTCCTGGGTATAGGGAATTGTTTTTTCTGGAATACACTCAGGAGAGCTGAGATTTCCTCCTAGATAGGCTTAGCACTGGGGGTGGAGTGAGGTTAAGCTCTTATAGAAAGGATCTACTTCTTCACCAGTGGAGGCGGTCAGGTTTATTCCCTCCTCCGCGGTGCTCCCCGGGAGCGTTGGACCTGCCCCACAGCCTGCGGGAGAGTCACCTGTGCTGGGCTCCCACAGCAGAGGCCTCCCTTGCCTCACCTGAGCTTTGACAGTCTCAATATCTTGCTGCAGCCTCTGGATCAGCTTGTTCATTTCCAGGATCTCGTTCTTGCGGTTGCGGAGGTTGTCACAGTGGTTCCCAGCTGTCTGCCTCAGTTCCTCGTACTGCGGGGACACAGGTGTTACACCTCCAGGCTCTGCTCTGTGGCATCTCCTAGCTTCTTCCTCACTGTCCCCAGTCTTTTCTCCAGTGACTTCCTAGCTTGGTGCTCTCTGGCTTCTGATACTTGTCCTGCTTTCAATTCCCTTTTTATTTCTGACCAATGTTTATGTCCTTCCATGGGCCGCTCCTTATTTCTGTCTCACCCCTCAGTTCTGAGACTTCAGGCTGGTTAACTTCCCCTCCAAGCTCCAAGATCTTCACCTTGCCTATCAGATCCCCTTCTCTCTGCCCCAGAGCCCTAGCCGTCTGAGGACTCTCTCCCTTTTAGATGTCCCTCTGGATCTTGGGAGGGGTTTCTGGGCTCAGCCTGGAATGCTAACCGATCAGTAACTCAAAACAATCAAAACCAAAATGCAAAGTTATGTCTTACCTCAGCTAAACACTTTTTGAAAACCTTGTCCCTTTGCATTCAATTTCTGAAGAGTAACTGTATACAGATTACATTTGTATATTATTTAAAAAGTTAGCCGGCTTTAGATTTTCTGATAGTGGATGGGAATATCTTTCATAAGAAAATACAAAGCAAGGGGATTATAGCTCAGTGGTAGAGGGCTTGTTTGACATGTGTGAAGTCCTGGGTTTGATCTCAGCACCATAAAAACAAACAGGTCCGGAAAACATGGCAGCTGAGTCATTCCCCACTTAATTCATATTAAGCACAATCAAGTTGGCTCTTCTGTTATTGGGTTACTGTGGGGAAATCTGCAGCTGCCTAATAAATATCCACTCCTTTTCCCTTAAAACAGAACCCTTTGAACCCAGATAGGATAATATTTCCCAGCTTCTGATCAATGAGGTCTATGGTCATTGCTGGGTAGGGATTCTAGGAAAGCTCCTTAAGTGGGGAATGACTCAGCTGCCATGTTTTCCACCTTCTAGTTTTCTCCTTCCTGCTGAACATGAGTGATTTGTGGCTATCTTGGGACATGAGGCAACCATGAGCCTGAAAATGTGTGCTAAAGATGGTAGAATAGGGTCTACCATCTTTAACACACATTTTCAGGCTCAGCAGTAGTGCACTTGCCTAGCATATATGAGGCACTGGGTTTGATTCTCAGCACCACATATAAATAAATAAAATAAAGGTCCACCAACAACTAAAATAGTATTAAAAAAAAAAGATGGTAGAATTGACTGGGCAAGTGACACATGCCTGTAATCCCAGTGGTTTGGGAGGCTGAGATAGGAGGATTTCAGATTCAAATCTAGCCTCAGCAACTTAGTGAGGTCCTGAGCAACTTAGCAAGACCCTATCTCTAGACCAAATATATATATATATATATATATATATATATATATATATATATATATATATATATATATAGGACTGGGGATGTGGCTCAGTGTTTAAGTGCCCCTGAGTTCAATCCCCAGTACAAAAAAAAAAAGGCATAGAATGGAATGTTGGAATGAGATGGACATCATCACCCTAGTACATGTATGAAGACACGAATGGTGTGAATATATTTTGTATACAACCAGAGATATGAAAAATTGTGTTCTATATGTGTAATATGAATTGTAATGCATTCTGCTATCATATATAACAAATTAGAAAAAAAAAGGATCCTGAGTGGTATGATCCTGGGAAGTCTATTTTTGTACTGTATCACATGAAAAACAAACAAAACAAACTGAATTTAACTATTTTTTAAAAAATTTCTGATTCTTATAGCTAACTAAATACAATCTTTAACCAATAGAATCATCTTTATGGTTCTGATGGAATGATGGGAAACTGAGTTTGTGTCCCCTGAGCCCACTTGACTGATGGATGGTCCAGGAGCAACCAGAGAAGGGGCCAGCAGGGTGAAGCTGGCCATGGTTGGGCCACAGACGGAGTCAGCAGGGCTGGCTCCAGGCCAGGGTTTGTTATTTCTGATTATCACAGATCTTCAGAAAATAGGCAGAGCAGTACTTGAGGCCCTGGCTGGGTGGGGTACCTATTACCTTCAGAAAGAGCCCCAAAATATTTGGCACAGCCCTGCAGACGTTTGGAAACCCAGCCCCCAACTGTCTGTCTGGACCCAGCTTCCTCACAGCACACCGGAACCTCACTTTCTTGCCTCTGCGTCTCCTTCCTTCTGCTCCTCAGCCTGCTTCCCCAGTCCTCTGCTTATTGACATCTCTACGTACTGACAATTCTTCTGCCTGTTCAGGTACAACGTGTTACTTCTGTCTCCAGGCCCCTGAATCTGCTGCTTGACCTTGGCAATCACCACACACTCTTTGTCTCTCATGGTGATTAGTTATACACTCCCCCTGTCCCCCAGAAATATAATTCCTCCAGAACAGGTCTGGTCTCACTCTTGGTATCCTGGATGTCGCCCTGCTCCATAGGGCCATCTTTCGCTGGCCCCCATCTAAGCCACCCTCCACACACTCCCTACCCTCTACCTGACCTGTTTCCTCCCTAATATACACCACTGTCTAACATACATCCTCTGGACTTCCTTGTTTCCTTCATTGTCTGCCCCCTGCCTCTGCCTCTAAGAAGGAAGTGACATGTGGGCCAGGTTGCTGTCTGTTCTGTTCGCTGCTGGATCTCCAGCTCCTAGCACTTGATGGATCCTCAATGAACAGTTGCCTGAATGCACGAACCAGTGAGCGGACGCATGCGCGGTGCCTTTCACAGACAGGGCAGTGACACTGAGATGATAGTGTTTGTTAACTCAGATTGCCCTCAGGGGCTCCCCTGCCCTCCCAGCAATCCCCTAATTACTAAGTCTGGGCCCACCTTAATCACTGTTTCTGCTGTACCATTAGTAACCACCCCATGCCACCAGCCTCCCACGTCTCCAAGCCCAGAGTCCTCTTTGCCATCATCACCAATTAGGTTTATTGAAGGCTGTTTAGAGGAGCGCTTCTGGTGAGTCTGAAGGTAAATAAAGCCGGGCACCCTGGTGACAGGCCTGGCCTATCTGTGGGGGTCCCTCCTACATGCTCTGTAGGGAACTGGCGTGAAGCTTGGCAGAAACAATAGAGCTGGGATTTATGGGATTCCCTGGCGCTGTGGCATGGCCCAGTCCTCTGTGCTCCTTACTCACTTCCTGGGGCCCAGAGCATCTGGGGGTCCTCCCCTGGCCCTGCCTATTTCCTCTCTCTTCTCCCCTCTCCCTTGCTCCCTGTCCCTCCCTACCCCCAGCCCAGCCTCTGCACCCCAGCTTACCCGGCACTGGTACCAGGCCTCTGCCTCAGCTTTGCTGCGGCTGGCAATGTCGTCATACTGGGCCTTGATCTCGGCAACGATGCCGTCCACGTCCAGATCCCGGCTGTTGTCCATCTTCACAATGACTGAGGTCTCGGAGATCTGAGACTGCAGCAGGAGGATCTCCTGGGGAGGACCAAGGTGAAGGAGTGAGCTCTGAGAATCAGCAGCCGGATGGGGACAGCCTGCTCTGATCTCTTGTGGGAGATTTGCACAGGTCTCTGCTGTAGCTGTTCCAGGACTTCCGCCATCAATATCCTCCTGGTCCCTGTCCTTTAGTGTCCCAGAACTTTCCCTGAGGAGCCTGAGAGCCTGGGATCTGGATACTCCAATTTCTGAGAGTCTCACTCCCTGAGCTCCAGCTGTCCTCGGGGGATCTATCTGTTCCAGGCACCTGCTGGGTAGATGCCTTCTTAACCCCCTGGCCCCTGACCAGCCATCTAGAAGGCAGCATGGCTGCAGGTACCTCCTCAAACAGGCCTTTCATGAAGTTGATCTCCTGTTCTAGAGCCTCCACGTTGGTCTCCAGGTCAGCTTTCACCAGGAAGGCTGTGTCCACATCCTGCAGCAGAACAGTGACAGAATCATGACCTGGAGCTGGGGGTGTGTGGGGACCATGTCCTCCACCAGCCAGGTACCAGCTGATGGCAGGTGGCAGGTGTGGGGCCCACTTTTCCTCAAGGAGTCCATGTGGAAGTGAAGGATGGAGCCAAGGTGGAAGGGCGGGTCCCCGGCCCTGGGACCCCTATGCCTGGACCCGACACCCTGATAGGGAAGGATCTGAGGATTGTAGGGGTTTAGAGGAGCTACCATGTTGGCCTACCATGTTCTCAGCTCTGACTGTAGAGCTCAGCCTAGAAATCCCCAACTGTCTGTCTAAGGAATCCTGGCAATCAGTTCATCTTTGGGCGTTTGAGTCAGAGTTTTGTTTTGTTTTTGATTTGGCATAGCCACATCTTCAACTGCTTGGGCAGGTGCAGACATGACCCTACCTGGCTTTGGCCTACTGAGTTGGGAGTGGGGGACAAACCAACCCTTGCCCCTAGCAAGAGGGATGGGAGTGGACTCTGACCTTCATCTTTTTCAGGGTCAAGGGGGTTGGCAAGGGAGGGTGGGAGGGACTCTTTGGATGGGATGACTGTAGACATGTTTGGACACAGTCCAGGGGCTGGGTATCTGAGGCTGGCCAGTCCGGCTCAGTGGCCTCTGCCTCCCTGTGTAGCCCCCTCACCTTCTTCAGGGCAACAAACTCGTTCTCGGCACAGGGGCGCAGGGAGAGCTCCTCTTCATACCTGATGGAGTGGGCGGGAGAGAGTCTTTAGTTGGCATGTGGAGTTTGGAAGGGGTCTTGGCATCAGGTATTTGGGGGCCACTGTCTGTCAGTGACTGACCACCCTAGGGAGCCTGTCTCTGGACACCTCAAGATAATTATTACCAGACCTTCTCACAGCCACTTTCCAAGAATATCCCCTCCCACCTCCCTGTAGCCTGTTTCTGTGGTGAGTCATCCTCTGGGAAGTCCTCTTTGAAGCTATCTTCATTTTTTTCTTGCTGCTGAGGAAGCTCCTTCATCTAGTTGATTTCTCTGGGAATCCTCTGCTGACCTGGCTGCTTTTCTTGACCTGAGACTGGCTGCTGTTTCTGAAATACCCAGCTGACCTGGGGCCTCCTCCTTGCTGGGAGGGTGCTGAACCTGATTTCGACTTGCAGTCTGGTGACAGAGGTAGCAATTACCCACTTCACCAGACCCACGGAGGCAGCCCGACTATTTCCTGCAAGCTGCCTGGGAGCTCCGCAGCCCACACAGGGCTCCTCTGAGGGGATCAGTCAGGTTCAGCCTGGCCATGGTGACTCAATTTGATGAGCAGCGTGGATCTATTAGAAGCGGCTCTGTGCTTCCTGACGCCCATTTCCCCCTTCCCAGGAGAGCCCCGGCACAGGACTCGGGGACCTATCACCTGGGTTTGAATCCTGGTTCTGTCACATGCTAGTCATGGCCAAGACGGGTAAGTGACTTGGCCTTTCAGCTCCTCTCCTGTGGAAGGAGGGTAACTCTGGTCCTGCCACACAGGGCTGTTGAGGGTCAGTTGATGTCTACCACACACTAGGACAGTGCCCAGCCTGAGCCTGGGCTAAGTGTGGTGTCAATGATGAAATACCAGTGGCATCTCATCCTCTCCTTTTGGCCATTTTGAAAATCCCAAGTTCTCCTCTTGAACTGCAAATCATGTCTCCCAATGTAACCTTGCTACTGTCTTCTCAAGAAGGGCATTGCTCCTTCTGAGGGGCCAGTCTCCACTTTCCCACAGCCTGCCACAGTCTGTTAGAGACGTTCCCCTTTCTTGGCACATTCTGGACCTTCCTTGTCTCCTGCTTCTATTTCTACCTGTTTCTGAGGTCTATTCTGGGCTGTCCTTTTGGAAGAAGCCATCAGAAGAGACGTTATCCCTCAAGGCCCCAAGCAAATGGTGCCTCCTCCAGGAAGCCTTCCTGGCTCCCCCTGCTCACTCCCTCTCTTGGGATCTGTTCCCTTTCTGTTCTGTTCTGCATTGCAGCTGCTTGGGTATAGGTGCAGGTGGTCATTGTGTACTAAACTGGGCCACCTAGAGGGAAGAAGCCACCTTTTCCCTTTCTATAGCATCTCTATTTCCCAGCACAATGCCGGCCACTGAGAGGGCCCATGTTGGCACCTATAGCATGAGTGTCCCCGACATGGCTCCCCTTCACTGGCTCCTATCTCTTAGGAACTGCTGCTCTTGGTGGGTGTTTCTCCTCAATGAAAATGTATCTCTCTTGACTCTCTTTCACCAGCATGTGTTCCCATGAGGCCCTGCGCCCGGGGCAGACCCACTCAGGACTCATCAGGAGGCAATTTATCTGGCTTCCGACTCTTGCAAGCACTGAGCTGCTTTCCTGCTGGTTCCCCATGAACATGTGCTCACCAGTCACCTCCTCCAGGCTGTGAATCAGACCCGAGGCGGGTACTTGGGGCAGGAGAGAATACACGAGCCCCAAAGCACCGAGAAAGAGGGAGTTCAAGCTCCTAATAGTGTGTGTGTTGTGTATGTGTGCACGATTTTTCCAGATCATTTCCAGCTGTGCTGGGGAGGGATGAGGAAGCCGGAAGTCAAGGGTGAGGGGAATGTGGGCTGGCTGGATGGCTGGGGGGCAATGCTGAGAGGGCTTATCAGGTGGAGGGAACAGCAGGTGCATAATCTTGGAGGGAGGAGCCTGCGGATCTTTTAGGGGACTAGGAAGAAGTCCTGACCTACAAAGGGACTCATGAAGCAGAGCAGGTAGGTAGCTCAGAGTAGAGATGGGGACTCCTTCATGGTGGGTGAAGCATGCTTAGGGAGAAAGAGCGTGAAGGCCTTCCTTATTTAAGCAGGGTGGTGGGAAGGGAGATGAAGACAAATGCACACATTCAGGGCTTCCACCACGCACTACATACATGTTCCTGTAGGATGCTCTGCCTATATTATCCCACTTAATTATTGTTCCACCTAATGAGTGTTTTCCCATTTTATGGGTGGGAAAATCGAGGCCCAGGTCGTTTCTGTAACTCATCCTAGATCCCCTCATGGGATGAAAGCTGAGCCAACTCACTTTTTCTTGTAGCCCTCCAGCGCTTCCTGGAGGCTGCAGAGCTCCGACTCCAGCCTCGTGTGGTCCCCTGACACGCAGTCCAGCTGCCTCCGCAGGGCGCAGATGTAGCCCTCAAAGAGGGGCTCCAGGTTGCTCTGGCAGCACCTCTGCTGCTGCATGAAGTTCCACTTGGTCTCCAGCAGCTTGTTCTTCTGCTCCAGGAACCGGACCTGCAGCCAAGAATGGGGTGCGGTAGGGGGGACCCTGGGAACCAGGTCTTGGAGAGGGTAGTAAGTGGCTTTTGACCTTTCCCAACACACCAGTGCCAATGCTCTGGGATTCGCAAAAGTTAAGGTCTCTGCATTGACTGGCACCTGAGGTGTCTTTGTGTCTCCTCGACTTTGGGGACAGTAGAGGATGCCTACCTTCCCTTCAGGAGTTGTGTGTTTTAGCTGAAAGAATATCACCCAAGAGGCCTGGGCAGGTCTGTAGTGCAGCCTTCTCCGCCTGCCTCTCACTACCCTGTAGCCTAGACCAAAACCTTTACCTCTTCAAGCTCCACTTTGCTTCCCAAAGCTCCTGCTGGGACTGTGAATGGGAGAGCATCCTGCAAGCCTGCGTCCTAAGGTCCCGCTGTGACACTTGGGAGGCCAGGCTTCTGGGCACTTGGGGAAGACGATCAGCTCAAGGGTGAGAGTTTTAGGACTCCAGCTCTTCCCACCCATCCTGTCCCATCCCACATGGCTGTAAAAGGAAAGAAGTCCAGGTCATAGGAATAGGGACAGTTGCTGGCCCACCTCCCCCATTTTTGTGGACTGGAGCTGAGGTTAGAAGCAGCTGAGTGGGTAGACCCTGGTCACCCACTAGTCATGGGCACGGGGAGCATGGTCTCTGGGCCTTGCTCAGGGATCTGGGCAACAGGAGTGGAGTCAACTAGGGGCCAGGACTCCTGGCTTCTGTCCCACAAGCCTAGCCACCAGAAACACCAGCTCAGCCTGTGGCATGGTCCAGATCCCAAGAGCCTCCCTGGACTGGGGACAGGCCCAGGGGCAACTGAGGGATGACGCCTGGTTCAGCAGCATTTAGAGGCAGTGTGTCCCCCTCCCTGCAGCCTTTCCAAGCTGGCTCTGGGGTTGACAGATGTAAGACTTGGGTGATGGCCACCTTGTGCTCCCAGCTCTGACTGCTCTTCTATTCCCTCACCCCAGGCCTAAACCAATGACAAATTTTGGGGGTCACAGTACCCATCCTCAACTTCAGAGCCTTCAAGAGCCTCAACACAGCTCAGGCACACAGAAGGCAGTTGGATTGTTAAAGCCTCATCAGGAAGGGCATTTCTTTGGTTATAACCTGCTTTGAAAGTTTCTCTTATAGTCTGACCTCAGGCAACCTTAGTGATTTTTTTTCTCAGATAACGTCCAGAGAGACATAACTTAAAAAATGGACTGGAAGCAGAAACATTCAGTGCTGAGCCTGATCCGATCACTTTCAACAATGAAGGCTGGAGAGGCCGATGGGCAAAGGACAGCTTGTGTATTGCCGGCCTTTTCCTTGTCCCTTGACTGGCCACCAGGTACACTCTGCAGTGGGTCTTGTCCCCACCCCAGCATCTTAGGCCCACAGCTTACCTTGTTGATGAAGGATGCAAAGCGGTTGTTGAGACACTTGATCTGCTCCTTCTCATCCCTCTTCACCCTCTGCACCGTTGGGTCGATCTCCAGCTCCAGCGGGACCAGTAGGCTCTCATTGATGGTGACAGGAGTGATGCAGGCAGAAGACCCACAGGTGGCCCCTGCTCGATACCCAAAGCCAGGCAGGCTGCACCTGGAGGCCACCCGGGGCCTCCCGAAGCCCACATTGCACAGGCTCCGGGAGCCGAGGCAGCCTAGGGCGCGGAGGCCCCCACCAGCCCCAGGCCGGCATGGGCCCTTGCTCACCTCATAGTGGGTGACCATTCGGGGCATGATGGCCGAGCATGAGCTGAAATTCTGAGTACCATACCTGGAGCCTGCCTGGAAAGAGCGGCACGACATGACAGGAGAGAGAGGCAGAGAGACGGAGCCCTGGAGTGGAGAAGAGAGGGCAGGAGTGGCCAAGTTGTGGTTTGACTTCCCCTTTTTATCTTGTAGAGGGATGGAGGGCTGAGCTGGGTCAAACCCCAAATCACCATTAAATCTGGTTTACAGGCTTGGGATATCGGCAGCTACTGGCGAGCAAGGTGGATAATTAGGGTAGCAGAAAGCCAAGAGAAGGAGCCAATGGCCCATGCTGGTGGGGCCTATAAAAATCCAAGACTTCCTTGTTTATGGGGGCGATGAAAGGGTCCATACAGACAGAGATGCCTGCCATAACCCGTGGCTCAGCCTCGAGGAGGGGTAGAGTGGGACTTTACATCATTTCACAGGAGGGAAGGGGAGGGACATGAAATACACACCCCAACTTCCCTGGGATTCAAGGGCAGATCAGACACATGGAGGATGCTCTCTTTGCCCAGGGCTGTCTCTGTCTTCCCATAGATCTTCCAACCCAAGTGCCCTTCATGGGCTCTAGGTGATCCCAGGAGTTCCTAGGGAGGTAGACTTTTGGGCTGGAGGGAGCCTCGCTGGATCTTCCCCTTCTCAGGAGGCAAGGCTCTGGCTATGGTTCAGCGATCCAGACCCCCCCGGGGTCTTGAGGGCGGAGGGCTCCAGGCATATACACTTCTCTCCAGGGACCCATTTGTACACACACACACACACACAAATGCTGTATAGGAGTCTCAAGAGGAGTTTTGGGAGAGGAAGGGATGCTTTCCCCCACACATGGGGGTCCCCCAGGACATGATGTTCATGGAGCTGGTCGGGGGATTCAGCATTGGTCTGGGGTTCTGTTTTGTGCTCTGGAGCCTCCCTGAGGCACATTCAGCTTGAGGACCTCTCTTCAGACAGTGCCTGCTCTAAAGAATGTGCCAGGTGGATGTGGGTCAGGCTGTCTTCCCAGAACTAGGGCACAGACACAGTCTCTTGGAGAGGCCTGCGGCCCCTGCCAATTTTCTTTCCTCTTCTCTCGTCCATCTCCACAGTGAAAACTCTGCTTGGTCTTGCCCTTCCATGCTGAGACTTTTTTCCAGGTCAAAATCAAGCCAATGATAATAATAGTGACATTGACTGAGGTTTAACATGTGCTGGGTCCCTCTGAACTCTTCCTATCCATTATCTCATTATCCTCCACAGCAACACTTTGCTGTAGCAACCATCTTACAGACAAAGAAAGTGAGGAGCAGAGTGAAGGGCTGTGTCCCCATCACTCAGCTTGTCAGTGATAAGGTTGGGATTGAGTCCTGTTCCTCCTAACCCCACCTTGCTCTGCTGCTCTGAAGGCCTGGGTTGGGGACGGGGAATCTGCACCAACATGCTTCACATTCTTTGCCTGTAGATTAGGAGCCTAGAACTTAAACACTTCAGCACCTTGAAAATTCTCAGTCTGACTGTGCCATTTCACACTGTTCCCTCTTCAGTAGTCTTAACTTGGGGCCTTGAAGTGAGGGGTGTCATGGGAGGCCTGGGGAATGGTGGGAGGTGGAGGGTGGTGTGGGCTGGGACACTGTTGTGCAGTGTCAGGGAAGGAGACTCTCACTCTACCCTGGTGGGCCCAGGAGATGATGTTCATGGAGCTGGTGCTGCTGAGAGACCTGGCCAAATTTCAGACTCTTTAGTGGATGGGGACAGGGCTCACTGGGACCACATGGTACAGTGGAGCTCCCTCAGCATATCCAGACACAATGGTAGTCTCAGTGACAGTGCTGGGCTCCCAGAAGCCCAGGAGCAGAGCTCAGGGGCAGAGGGTAGGATGGTTCATGGCATTCATGGTGGGCAGAAGGCATGGACTCCCAGACCTCCTGATTCTGAAGCTGCCCTCCAGGTATAAGACAGGACATGACTCAGTCAAGACCTAGAGTGCTCAGTGACATTTTATTGAAGCAATTTCAGCAACTTGGCAAGCGAGAAAGGAACAGGGAGTTAGAAGTTTTAACTTGTTTTCTGGAGCTGTGAATTGGGTCTGCATGGCAGCCGAGTGGCAGGGAACCTCCTTCTCTTTTGATCGGGTTTGGTTTTGAATTCATGGCGGGTGTTTGAGGGTTTACAACTCTTCAAACGAAACAAGGAAATCAACCATGAAGGCCAACTCCAAAAAAAAAAAAAAAAAAAAAAAAAACGCGGTGCAGCCCCTCACCCTGTTCACCTGCCTCTTCCCTCTGTTCCCTTGGTGAGACTGGGCTATTATGTCCCTTCAGAGGGAGGGGACACTCCAAAGCCAGGACTGTCTCTCCTCCAAGCTCACCACCTCAGTTCTTCCCCGCGGGGCAGAGAGTTTGAGGTGCTGCCTTAGAGAGCTTTGTTCTCACTGGGACAGGAGAATCCTCATAGCTCGGAGACATTTCAGAGGCTGGGATGTGGGAAAAGAAAGGTTGGAAGAGCAAAAACAGAAAATATGTTGCAAAATGGGAAGAGTGGGAAGGATGAAAGGAGAGAAATAGAGAAGAGAGGCGAGGAGAGGAGAGGAAGGGTGGGCAACGAGGGAGAACACACAACGAGGGGCCCTGAGGATGAGTAGGAAAAGCAGTGAGGGTGAATAAGGTAAAAAGGAAAGAGAAGCTTCCAGAAGAAATAGGTGGTTAGCATAAGGGAAAGGGAGAGAGGGCCGAGGCTGGAGCATTGTTTTGCAGGAGGATTCTCACAGGGCAGTTCTCTATATAGGCTAATTGGATTCCTTTTTTTGGTGTATCTTGTGCGGGCATTTTGGGCTGAGTGTCTGTCTCCTACCCCCTCATCACTGGGATCTTTCTGTTCAGAGTCAGCCATCTAATATTAGTTTCAATGAGGCAGATATGGAAAGGAATGTGGCTAGAAGCTCATGCAATGCAGCTGCAGGCCACAGAGAACTCGGGCTCTTGATAAATTTTTTCCCAATCTAGTATGAATAATCACAGTTGGTACTGTTTTGAGGGCTATTGATTCCTTGTTCAAATATTTTACTGGGGGGAGTTGCTGGTGGACTTGGCTGAGGGCCTGGACAGAGACAAAATAAAAGGAGGAGAGAAGGCAATATGTGTGACAGGGTTAGCAAAGATATTTCCTGGTCTGAGGGCCCAGCAGGAAAAGTGTCATCTTTAGGGAGAAACAACCTATGTAGAAAATTAGACCTAGACGGCTCTGGACTTCTTTAGGGTCCCTGGGTCAATTTTAAGGTTCCCATGAAGGACTGAGCAAGAGGAATATCTTGGGATTGTAGTGGATCTGGGTCAGACAGAAGGAAGAGATCCTATTACATCTCCCAATTCTGGGAATTTCTTAAGGGCAAAATCCTAGCCCAGGTCTAAGCCCAGAGCAGTTGAGTCAATGTGGGCTGGAATGGACCCGGGAGGGCTCTGAGACCAGGATGGATGAGCTATCTCTGTGGGGCCTGTGACAAGAGATGGACAAGGTGACCTTTAAATTCATAGCCACTTGCCACTCCCTTGCCTGCTGCGGTGGATGTGAGCATGGGATGTGGGCAAAGCGTCAGGCCTGAGGCTGGAAGCTTGGACCTTGGGGGTGGCTGCCCAGGACAGGTGGGCACCTTAGCTCCTGTAACTCTTCTTGGTGGAGGATGACGTCTTGGAGATGATGCGCATGCTGGAACTGCTGCTACTGCCACCGCGGCTGCTGGTGGAGCTGAATCCGCTGCCCCCGCCGCTGCCACCGTAGCTGAGGCTGCTGCTATAGCCGCCCCCACCCATGCACAGGCCGCTGCCCCCGCTGTAGCCTGAGCCTCCAGAGGAAGAGACCACAGCTGTGGAGGGAAGACAGACACGTTAGCAGGTTCCTCTCTTTTCCCAAGATGCCCCTCTGGGGTGGGGTCTCATGCCCAGGCCTGTCCTCCCACAGCGTCTTGCTCCAGGCAACACTCTCCCCCCAGGGAGCCTTGGGAACAGTGGTCAGGCTGAGGCAGGGTGGGCATGGGCCCATCATCCTACAGTTTTTAAAGCCCTTTCACAGCTATGACCACACTGATCTCACTGAGGCCTGAGAGGGCATCATTACAGTGTCCCCCTTTTAAAAAGAAAAGATGAGATGCAAAGAGATCAAATGCCTTGGCCAAGGTCATGCCTGCCAGAATGAAGACTTCGGGCTCCTGTGCTGTGTTGGTTCCTCTTCTCTATCAAGAGGCTGTCATGTGGGGTGCAACATGAAGCCTCGGATTCAGGGAGAGGACCGCAGACTGCCATGTTGCAGAACAGGCCACCTGATGAACCCCTCCGGAATTGGAGTCCCCTTGACTACGTCACTGAGAGGCAACACTTTTGTGTCTATGCTATGTTTTCAAGGATGAGGAGCTCCCTCCTGACAGGGACAGCCTCCTGACTTTATCCAACACGAGAAGGCTTTGCTTCAACCCTCACTTTCAGAGTTGGCTTCTCCCCATGAAGATCCTATGACACCCCCATTCTGGAAATTCCTTAAGAGAAAAATCCTAGCCCAGGTCTTGGCCCAGAGCAGTTGAGTCAGTGTGGGCTGGAATGGACCCTGGAGGGCTCTGAGACCCAGATGGATGGGCTATCTCTGTGGGTTCTGTCTGGAGGAGAGGGATGGCCAAGGTGACTGACTCCAATTGGTGGCAGGCTCTCTTCCAGGCTCCCAGGTGTTCTGATTCAGGGACGCCCAAGGAGCTTTGATTTCCATGACCAGGACTCAGGGCTCCTGTGGCATCACACAGGATGCCCATCTTTTCCTGGGTGGGGGGATGTGGCTCTGTGACATGATTCCTCCTGGTCTCCCTCCTGGGAGTCCAGGTCAAGCCAGGCCAGTGACTATTCTACTTGTTCAGTTAAAGTGCTTAAATCTAAATAAAAGTCTTTTCCTTGAACCTGGTTCACAGCTTCTTATTATGTTAGTTTCTGAATCTCAGAGAAATCAGGCCATTGAACTGGGGACCCATCGCTGCTTGAGCAGTCCTGTCCCATAATTGGATCCTCAGGGGCCAGGCTGGTGTCACACTCCTGAGGACATGTGACCCCACTGCAGCCAGCTTAGGGGGCGAGGGGTCACCTGGGGAGATTATCCCAGAGTGAGG